TCTTTCAAAATCTGGTTCAGATGCTGTTTCTTTCATTAACTTGTTTCTGAATGCTTTGTGACGTGAAAGTCACTCAGTTGTGTCTGACTCTCTGCAACCCCATGGACTATACAGTGCATGGAATTCTCCAGGCCAGAATACCAGAGTGGGTAGCCTTTCCCTTCTCTAGGGGATCTTCCCAACCCAGGAATCGAGCCCAAGTCTCCTGCAATCCAGGCGGATTCTTTACCAGCTGAGCTACAAGGGAAGCCCTTTGAATGCTTTAGGTCCAAAGTAAACTCTGCCTCCTTTGATTTCTTAGAGCATTTTCTTCCCTTTCAGGTCACTTTCCAGCTTGCCATTTCTGTGCATATTATATTTTTGCACCCACCCACCCACCAGTTAACCTGTAAGCTTTTTTAGGGAAAGAAAGCCAACTTTCTGATTCACTTTTTGTACCTCACAGTGCCAGTAAACACAGGAAGAGGAGGATGGAAGGAAAAATAAAAAGGTGACAGACTGGTTTAAATGACATCCATCCAGCTTATCTTTTTCTCTACTCGTATCCAGCATTAGAACTCTCTCTTTCTCTTTCCTAAGTGTTGGAGTAAAGTGACATTTCTCAGCCACTTTTTCTACATTGATATATTCTTGAAGTTTTGTCTTTTCTTGATCAGGTAGTTGCAGTATTAGAAGCGTAATTCAGAAACATTCGAACTACAGTGAGACCCCTAGTTCTAGTTCTCTTTGATTGTTATAGTCTCATCTTCTCCAGTCTTTCTCCTTAGTCTGTCCTAACTTATACTCTCTAATCTTCTTAAAACATACTTGAATCCTGTTATTTCCCTGCACGAGAGCCTGAGCATATTTCCCTATTTCCCATGAAGTCTAGTCCAAGCCCCTCACCAGTTCTGCATTCAAGACTTTTCATGATCTTTTCATGCTTAATTTCCCATTCCACTCCTTCATCAGACCAATTCAGTAGCTTAGCTTTAACTATTTAGGTCTTCCTTTCCTTTGTTTTACACCCATCAACCTTATCTTTGCTAAGAGGTTTCATTCTTGGTATCATCTCCATCTCTATGAGTTCAATTCCTAATCATTCTTCAATTTCAATTGAAAGATTACTTCCACCATTATTCCTTAACAATCTCCAATGCTCTCCCTGCCCTAGATAGAAAGTCATCTCTCCACTGACTCCCCAAAGCATTTCTATTTTTTTGCAACATATCACTTTCCTCCTTAGGTTGCCCTTATATTCTTCACATGCCTGTTTTCTTAAAAATCCTGCAAGCACTTAAAGGGCAAGTGTTGAACTCATATGCTCATCTTTATGCTCCCTATGGTGTCTCATATTTAAGTTTAAGTTTCATCACTAGTTTCTACTAATAACGAAGTCTGTGACCCTGAGCAAGTCATTTAACCTGTTTGTGTCAATTTGTTCATAAATCAAAAACATATTCTAACAGTCTGAATTTGAGATGGCTTAAATTACATATTCCTGGGACTGCACAAGAACACTTGGAAGCACATACTAAAATAAAGATTCCTGCATAACTTCAACAAAGTCTAAAATTATGGCCACACTACTGGCTGTTTCCACCAATAAGTTCCTATAATTATTTTTTCTGACTTACTTGGATCAATACAGAGTGGTGTGACTGTTTCCCTTCTGGCTGTTACTGCTACCTCAAACATCAGTGACATAATATACTCCTCACCTTTTTGTTAACGTATAGAACTGCATTTGTGTTTGGAGGGAATCATACATTCAATCATTTATTCCATAAATATTTATTGAGTATCTATTAACCAGACATTTTTCCAGGTGATGGGTTCTGTTCTCATATTAGTAAATAGAAGAGGGGAGGGGAAGGGAAAAAAAAAAAAACTGGTGTAAGTATGGAAGTTTTCTTCTTATTTTAACTATTCTAAACAATCTCTCATTAGTAGATTATGAAACTTTTAGACCACCTATGTTAGGCTAAGATTCAAAGCAAACTCTTTCATGGTTAATGTTTCCTAAAAGCAAAAGGAAAATTCCTTTTTTTTTCTTTTTTTCATTTGTGCAGATGATGCAGGGGAGTGAGTACAAAGTGTGTCCGCTCAATCCTTCTAAAGATAATACACTGGAAACATTTTGGTGGGTGTGAATCACTCAGACAAGCATTCTTCACTCAGAAATAGAAACTGGCCTTATTTGTTCCAGATGTTATACAGCTGCAGGGAAGTTAAAGCCAGTGGTCCTGTTTTCAATGCAACCAAACTCTTATTGCATTTGGAATTTCTTAACCAATGAACTCATGTTACTTGTTCTAAGACCTGCACGATTTTCTTTTTTTCCAGTTTTTCCATTTACAAACAACTCTGTTTCAAGGGAACTACACTTCAGAATTAATGAGTCTACATCTGTGTTGTACAAAGGAAACACATCCTGTTTACCACTGTTTCCACCTTTCATTTATCTCAACCTCTTTAATTTCAGGCATAAAACATCTCAAATAGAGTGCTTGAAGTAAAAGAAAAGGAGAGTTGAGTTGTATGGTTCTTAATATTTTATAGCTCTTTAAAGATGGAATGATGAGATGTTCATCTTAGGAAGAATTTCAAGCAGAATCATTAGGGAGGATATTGAGTATAAAGATGTAACTCAAATTGCTGTTTGTAGTTTGAAAAACTTGACTTATTAGCTTATTTCTTGACTTGCCTGTAGGTCTGTAAGAGCTGCTGTGTTGATGCATGAAATATAAAATTTGCCCTCGTTGAACAGGGTAAATAAGTTAAGAAATTAAGTAGATGATATACATACTAATTTTATATCCAGTTCATAAAAATGAAAATATATGTGTTCTATTTTGTTTGAGAACATTTGTGTCTGGGACACAGAGTACCAGATCTTGAGATTACTGTTTTTATAGAGAAGATTTTTTCAAATTGTGGTTCATGGACAATCTACAGCAGAATCACACTGGTAGTTTTATGAAAATATGTACTTCTAGGCCCAGTTGAGTTAGAATCTCTGCAAATTGGGCCTGTGGAGCTAGAGGGACTCCAGAGATCAGAAAACAGCAACAAAGTCTCATCTTCCAGCTGTGAACAGCAAAGCCTAGAGAAGTGAAGTGAATTTCTCAAAACCATGAAGCCAGTTAATAATAAAGTAAAGGCCTAAAATTTTCTTTATTAATGCTAAGACCAACATTCTTTTCCAGGTAGTTTTTGTCCTTCAAAAAGATTTAAAAAATAAAATTTAAAGGAACATTTAGGGGCTTCCTAGGTGTCTGGATGGTAAAGAATCCATCTGCCAAAGCAGGGGACACAGGAGATGGGAGTTCAAGACCAGGGTCAGCAAGATCCCCTGGAAGAGAGAATGGCAACCCACTACAGAATTTTTGCCTGAAAATTCCATGGACAGAGGAGCCTGGTGGGCTAGAGTTGTAAAGAGTTGGATGCTATTGAGCAACTGTGCAAGTACCCAAATATCACTGGATGTCTCACTTAACAATTCTTTTATATAATATATTTTATGAAAGTGTTAGTTGCTCAGTTGTGCCCAACTCTTTGCAACTCCATGAACTGCAGCCTGCCAGGGTCCTCTGTCCATGGAATTCTCCAGGCAAGAATATTGGAGTGGGTAGCCACTCCTTTCTCCAGGGGATCTTCCCAACCCTGGTCTTGAACCCTGAATTGCAGGCAGATTCTTTTACTCTCTGAGACACCAGGAAGACCAATATACTTTATACATGTATAATATAATATACAATAATATATTTCTGTCATTAATTATCCAAATCCTTATTCTCCAAGATTTTAGAAGTACCTTTCCTTCAGACTCACCATGAATCTTTTGAGTTATAATTAAAATCTTCCAGGAAAAAGAGGAAATTTTATGCTTTATGGATTATTGATTAAGTCTTTGAAATTTCACGATTGATTATTGTGGAAATGAGTGCTTATTAATTAAAGCTATTCAAACCATTCAAATAGCAGTTTGGATTCAGTAATGATTCTTCAAAGACATACACAAAAACTATAATTGATGGCATACATTCTTGGTATATGTATATGGCATAGGTTAAAATTGAACCTTAAAATAGTCTGTGTGATGCCATTCAAAACTGATTCAAAAACTGTTCCACACATATTAATAATGCTATTAATCATTTTATATGTTTTCTTATGTATGTAGTTTAGTCTACACAAAGGAAAAGACTCTGTGAATGCTATTTATTAAGTTTTCTATAATTTGCTTCAAGTGATAGTGTGCTGACACTCATTTGGGGCTTCCCGGGTGTCTCAGATGGTAAAGAATCTGCCTGCAATGTGGGAGACCCGGGTTCAATCCCTGGGTTGGGAAGATCCCCTGGAGAAGGAAATGGATTCCTACTCCAGTATTCTTGCCTGGAGAATCCTATGGACAGAGGAGCCTGGCAGGCTACAGTCCATGGGGTGGCAAAGAGTCAGACACGACTGAGCAACTTTCATTTTCACTTTCTGACACCCACTTATGAGTAAAGAGGCATTACCAGAGACAAGATGTGCACATATACTTCTCTGCTATTCATAAGTGAATGCTCCTAAATGCATTAAAGACAATATTGTTTTCAGTGTTAGTCACATATAAAAAAGGGATATTAGAATTCTGGGTATGTATGTGAGATTAGAGCCTCTCTTCTGTAAATGACTCATCACCAAATTCAGTGACTAGACTCCACAGAATCAGAGCAAAAAATGGATGTGAAGTCCACTGGTTCTCTGACCTAATTCTGCTGCCAGGCAAAGAGGAGTGTTCCCACATGTGAGTTCCATTTAAATCCCCCCCAAATTCTACCCTGTTGATTTCTGATAATTTATTAAATTTTGAAGTTTTTTTTTCTTTCTTTAAAGATAGTAGACACTTGTTTCCACATAGCTTTTCATTTATAAATTAAAAAAAACTTAAGGTCAATTATTTAATAATTTTTGAGTGATGGTAGAGATACAATAAAATATGATGAGATTCATAAATGTAAAAGCAGATGTACCTTAGGGTCCACATTGAGAATTTTTCTGTCTCTTTTGTATTTGAAAAGTAAGCCTTCTGGATTATCAGCAATCACTTGGTAGTTGGGAGTTGAATTCCAAACAGCAATATGACTGTCCCAGTTGTAAAAACTGTAAAAATAAATATTTACTAGGAATTAATATGCATAGTGAATTAAATGGACAAATATATTCCAGACAATATTTGGGGAAGTTCAGCTTCAAGATAAATGGATAAGATCACAGTCTGTAGAAACACGCAGACCACAGGTGTGATTAAAATTCTTGCAGAAAAGATTAGACTGGGTTCTGAATCATTTAGATACATATTTATGACTATTTTGCATGATTTCCTGGTTTGGACACTCTAAGATCTAGGGCCTATTCCAGTATTATATTCCCAGGAAGAAGAAAATTGATGTAATTTAAGGCTATTTCTTCTAGCTCAGACTCTTCAGGTTATTGAGTATTCAGGGTATTAAATAAGAGACTGTTTACTGGAAGGAAAAGTAGGCTAAGTCACCTCTTTTCATTCAAAATCAATTAATTTGTTTCTTTAAGGCTCTATTTTTCAATGATACATTTCCCAGGCAGTAATAAAACTACTTGTGTTTGAGAGGTGACCACAGGCCAGGCATGATGTGATGTATTCTACAACAACATCCATATGAAACTGCTCTTACGTCACAGACAAGGCAAGGATATCAGAGGAGTTCAACTAGTAGAGTTAACATTATAAATCTAATATTTCAACCCAGATCTGTGTGTTTCAAAGCATACACATACTCTTTCTACCACTCAGCATTGCCTGTTCAACTCTTTCTTTGGATGATCTTCTATGGAAACTTTGAATTTTTTCCATGTCTTATTTTATATTTGTCAATACAAATATAATGCTGTTATGTGTTAGAAGCATCTTCAACATACTTATTTTTATGTATCTTATTCCCATTAACACATTTCTAATATTATGTTTGCTTTTAAAATGACAGCTGTAGAGATAAGATATGTATAGCTCACAGCCCAGTATGCCTCTCAAATATTTGTAACATTTATTTTTAATCATTTCCCCCTTATCCTATTTCTGGGTTGTTTTGCCTTCTATTACTGCTCTTCATTTTGAAAGAGTAGATTTCATTGATTAAAGTCACTCTCAATTACATTGTTTTCTGAGGCATCAACTTTTTGCTATTACCTGAAAATGTGATATGTTTACCTTCAAATATTTTAATTCAAAAACTGTATGGATCATATATTTATATCTTCAGGGGTGTATATGAGTGAGAACTAGTTTCTCTCTTCCCCTCTTACTTCTTCTATGGTCAAGACATAATAACATCTGCCCTTTCTGAGGCATAGATTTAGAAAAAGAAGTTTTCCAACCACCTCTGTCTGTTTTGTCAACCCTTCCCAAGAGAGCAGGAATGACTGTCTGATTAACAACTTGAGGGCAGCAGCTGAACATTCATGCTTTCTAGGTCCTCACTTTAGCCAGCTTTTGGCAATCTCAACGCCCAATAGGTTGATGACAAAAGAGTTGCCAGTAGTACTGGTGGTAGATTCAATCCAGTAGAAAAGGAATTACAAGACAATTTGACTTCACACTCAAACTGGGTTCCTCAGTTCAGTTTAATTCATAATAAGGAAGATAAATTGACCTCCATCCTCCTGGGTGTTCAGTTAGGAGACTGACAAACTGGAATAAGGGACATGGGTGTGATTCTCAACCTTACGTGTGTGTGCATTTCTGAGATATATAGATAGAGACAATCTCACTAAAATGCTTGAGTCATAGTTGTACTCTGAGGGGCATGGTTTATATCACACATTCCTATCTCATTGCTTGGACTTCAAATTAAAAGCCTCATTGGGGTGAAACAGATCATCAGCCCAGGCTGGATGCATGAGACAAGTGCTCGGACCTGGTGCACTGGGAAGACACAGAGGGATCGGGCGGAGAGGGAGGTGGGAGGGGGGATCGGGATGGGGAACACATGTAAATCCATGGCTGATTCATGTCAATGTATGACAAAAGCCACTACAATATGTAAAGTAATTAGCCTCCAACTAATAAAAAAATAAAATAAAATAAAAGCCTCATTGAGGGAAGGAGGAGCCAAGATGGCGGAGGAATAGGACGGAGAGACCACTTTCTCTCCTACAGATTCATCAAAAGAACATTTGAATGCTGAGCAAATTTCACAAAAGAACTTCTGATCGCTAGCAGAGGACATCAGGCGCCCAGAAAAGCAGCCCATTGTCTTCGAAGGGAGGTAGGACAAAATATAAACGACAATAAGGGAGTCGAAAGAGCTACGGACGGAGACCCGTCCCGGGAAGGGAGTCTTAATAGAGGAAGTTTCCAATCACCAGGAAACCCTCTCACTGGCGGGACTGGGGGAAGTTTTCGGCACTGTAACTGGGAGGAAAAATTAAACAAGGCCCACAGATTACGTGCCTAAAAGCAACTCCCAGCAGAAAAGTACCCCAGACGCCCGTACCCGCCAGCAACAAGCGGGGCGGAACGGAGAGGAGCGGGCGGCATTGCTTGGGGTGAGGTCCGGCCCGAAGACCCTGAGAGCAATCGGAGGGAGCTTTTTTAAACTGTGGGATAGCAAGGGACAAAATTAACCGGCCCGAACACACTGCC